TCTCTGAAGTCCTTCGCAAACACTTCCACCGTTTCGGCCGACAGTATCCGAGGCCAGCGTTTGGCGATACCCGGGCTCTCGGAGCCGGAGCTCCCGTTGTTTGCACTTTGGGTTTGCTGTTTGTCTGTGGGATGCAAACGATACCAAAAATAACAACTCATTTAATGTAAAAAATTGTGGTTTTTGTAGTGTTCAAAATTGCATGTTTAGAAATTTTGTGATGGAAATGGAGTTTTTGGTTGTGGGCTCACAAAAGGCATAATTTTATTAACAAAATCTGAATTCTTTATATAATATTCTGTATAACTATGTGTAGTATTCCGTAAACTAGATTTAAATTCTATACAAAAAAAGCAAAAACTGAATAAAAAAGGACTTTTTGGTAAAGGATTCCTATTAACGGACAAATCCTTGTGAATAATATTCTGTATTCTGGTTTGATTTTTGTGCAAAAATATTCTGTGATTTTGGGAATTTTATTTTAACACTCAGTGATAGTCGTGCGATAAATATGTCTCAAATCCAGATGTGATTTACACTCAAAACAGTTTTGACAAATAATTTGCGAGATAAGTGACAGATAGAAATCTATAAATATTTTGCACATGACTTGATTGAGAAGTTTATATTATATCTGAGATTATATTTTAAGACTGGGGTTATATTTGAAATTTGTATTAAAGTTATACTGTACTATATTTTGTAAAATAAATCCCTATTCTAAACTACACAATCAATTTTATACATTAATATTACACTATTTTTAGTAATAATTTGTAGCCTTCTATTATAATTAGTAAAATGTGTTCATGAATTTGTATTAAAATAAATTTGCATAAAGTTTATGAAATAAAATCTGAAAGACTATGGGACTGTTTAAAGCTGTCTAACTGTTTAAATTCACAGATGAAATAAATGTACAATAATTTCTGTCACAAAATTCATAATGTATTCAAATCGTCAAATTATATTATTACAAAGAAAAGTTTAATAATTATAATAATATTAATAATTTATGTAATTCCCTGAGTTTGCCTATAATTTTGTGAACATTTAACAATAAGAAAGTTAGAATATTCTGCACGAATATACAGAATTTATTTAGAATTAAATTCCATATATAAATAATTTTTTCATATCAAAATAATTCACAATTTTAATTGTATTACAACTTTGTAGACCTCACAATAAATACATATCGTATATAATTTATAATTTAAAACTTAATATGAATATTATATAAATATTAAATGCACAAAAAACTATCATACTTAAACTTATATTAAGGAAATGGTTATTTAAAAAGTGTTTTCCCTATATTATAATAAGTAAGTAAGACATTAGTTTTATTTAAATGTTTTTTGAATGCATATTCAATGAAATGGCGCATAAAAAATCTATTAGCAGTTCATGCCATAAAACATGTCTCGTAGAGAAAAAGAAGTGCAAATGACATGAAAAATGTATTCACATATAAATATATCTCTATACATATGTATAATACACTAAAAAAGTTATCGTTTTCTATAGAGTAAAGGCAAATATGCGGACAATTCGTGCACAAGAAATACTCCGATGATTGAAATCATTGACACGAATCTCGTTTTCATATGAATATATTGGAGATAATATTCTTGAGTTTCGGGACAAATATTTTAAATGTCGACTCAAAAAATTCTAATCAATCAAAATATAGGATAAATATACGAAAAAGAAAAGAATTCATGGATTAATAAAACACATACTTTATTATAAGCTATTTTTATGTAACTAGACCTTTTTTATGTAGTATCTATTATTACCCTAGACATCCCTGACCTTTAATTGTGTAATGAAAAGTATGTATTATAGAGATAAGCACCGGTAGGCACTTCATAAGGTGCTATCAAGTGCAAAAGTAATACATAGTTTTCTATTAGAATTTATTACAGAATTGATTGCAGAATAAGTTATTCGTGTAAATACTTATAGCATTGTATTATGTGTGCGCGACTCATGAATTTTTCAATGAATAAAATTTAAATTACAAAATATTTCCTGTTTTTCATCAAATGTATTCAATCTCTACTATATATTAATATACATTGAAATTGTGTCTCAATTTTATTCAATACTTTTCCCTTTCATATAATCGTAAATATATTCTCTAAAGCAATGTATTTAATAACACATCTTATCTCGAGATTCTTATTACATATAAAATCAAAAAATATTTTTCAACAAAAATACATTTTTATTATATGTACTAAAATATAAAATTATAAATTTCAACAAAATCTTCTCTCCTTTCATATCACAACTCGTGTCAAATAAATTTGTTATTTAAAAATGAAATCTCAATCTAATTGTTAGCAAGAATATTGAAATCAATTCTTTCTATAACACAATAATAGCATATAAGACAACACGAGAGGCATGGGATGTGCGCTGAATGCTTATATAGATTCATCATTTAATTTTAATGGTATATCCCATTCTCACATCCCATTCCCATCACATACACACATTATATTGTAAACGAAAAATATATAATATAACTGTATTTTAGACATTCATTTCGAGAGGGCTTTATTCAATGACTGAATAAAGTATCTCTTCAATGGTATCTCCAAATGAGATGATTCTCTCTCTCTCTCTCTCTCTACCATTCGTTTGGTTTACTCTTTATTAGGTTAGACTTGAATCAAATAAAACATTAGTTATATTTGCGGAGCACTACTAATGCCACCAAAAAAACTATTATTTCATAAATGAAACACTTTTTGGAGTATAAAAAACACAAATAAAACTTCTCTCAATATATTTAAGACAATCGAGAGAGTACTGTACTGTAGTATAAAGAATTTTAACTAAACTTTTCTTGTTTTTGTTTTGATATATCGTTTGATTTTTCATATGTAGTGCACGTCTGATGGGAAAATATTTTGACAGAGCTTTTTGTCACGAAATGACTTCACTATAAACTACTTACAAATATTGTGTGTATGGCCTTTGAATAAACAATATTAATGCCAAATGCTAAATATATATATACATACAGAATATTCTTGATCTGTATATTCATAACAGAACATATATATTATATAATATTGTACTGACAGCACTATTATTATGAATTATTCTGTGGACAAGGAGTGTGTAATTCATTAAATGTAAGCTCTTATGAAATATATTTTATTAAATAGGTCTCTCTCTCTCTCTCTCTCTCTCTACCATTCGTTTGGTTTACTCTTTATTAGGTTAGACTTGATTCAAATAAAACATTAGTTATATTTGCGGAGCTCTACTAATGCCACCAAAAAACTATTATTTCATAAATGAAACACTTTTTCGAGTATAAAAAACACAAATAAAACTTCTCTCAATATATTTAAGACAATCGAGAGAGTACTGTAGTATAAAAAATTTTAACTAAACTTTTCTTGTTTTTGTTTTGATAAATCGTTTGATTTTTCATATGTAGTGCACGTCTGATGGGAAAATATTTTGACAGAGCTTTTTGTCACGAAATGACTTCACTATAAACTACTTACAAATATTGTGTGTATGGTCTTTGAATAAACAATATTAATGCCAAATGCTAAATATATATATACATACAGAATATTCTTGATCTGTATATTCATAACAGAACATATATATTATATAATATTGTACTGACAGCACTATTATTATGAATCTTTGAATAAACAATATTAATGCCAAATGCTAAATATATATATACATACAGAATATTCTTGATCTGTATATTCATAACAGAACATATATATTATATAATATTGTACTGACAGCACTATTATTATGAATTCATAGTGTATATTAAAGAATATTCTTTAAAGATTGCAGTTTAACTTATGTGTTAATATAATTTTGACAAAAAAATCTTGTTTAACAAACATCTGCACACAATGTGCGGACAACTAGAGTGCAGGTGCTCTCACACATATAACAGCCCACATCACTTTGCAGTGTCTATTTGTCTAACTATACAAACATCGGGATAATATTTTTATGAGTTATGTATTACTTGTGTAAACAAAATATGAAATCGGTCTCATAATTACCTAAATACTGGTTAACCCAATCGGAAAGTCTTTGTTTGATGTCAGACATGGTGTCACTCTTTTTGTAAGGCAAGAATATTTTTGTAGATAAATAGGTCGGTGTTGCGGTTGGGTGTGCGGGGCCGGTAGCTCCCGGCTGATCCTGTTGTGCTTGTATTGGTTTAGTGTATGTCATACGGAATATCCTACAGTAATCCCCGTGCTCTGTAAACGCCATTAACTTTGTATTCACTTGACTTACTGCATGAGAGGGAAAGACATTGAAAATACATTAGAATTTGCATTTGAAACAGAATATTCTTACATATAAAACAGCATGTATAAATAATATTAACTTAATATTAAATATTATCTAGAATTAAAGAATGTACATAATATAAAGTAATTTATATTTTAACTTATCTATCCTAATGTTAAATTTTATAATTAAACTTGTAACAAATTATATTTAAGGAACTGTTAAATAAAGTTTATAATTAAAAATATAATTAAGTTTTTTATTTGTTTTCACTAAAAGTAAAAATGTTGCTTTGATATTTGCTATAAAAACAGTGTTAATTTTTTATGACTCGCGAACTAAAATAAAAAGTTTTTTGTTTTGTGTTTTGAAAACTGCATTAAAAAGGAAAAACAGTATAGCTAAAACTTTCAGCAAAATAAATAACTACAGGAGAATAAAACTGATATAACATATGATATCTATTATGAATGGAAATCGAAATCCATTTGTGGTTTAGATTTAAGTGGGAAAATGCATTTTCATCTCTCTCTCTCTCTCTCTCTCTCTCTCTCTCTCTCTCTCTCTCTCTCTCTCTGCAATGTATTCAATAGGCATTGGAAGCGATTGAATGCATCCTTTTGTCAGCGGTTTGTGTTTTGCCAACAGATATATAATACGAAATACATTACATAATAATACAGTACTCTCTATAAGAAAAAGTGTTTTATTATGAAAAATAAGTAAAATTTCTGTTGAATAGAAAATTGCAATGAATTCTGCATTAAATGAGACATATTCTGCAAAATGTGCGATAATTCCCATACATATAAAACCAATTATAGATCATGTTTTTTGCAAATCTACCCTTTCGTATTCAACCAATGCACCAATGTTGATTTAATTAAAATTTAATTATCATTTGGTTTTTCAAAGTCATAATTGGTTTATATATTTAGAAAGAATAGCAATTAGTAGGAGATTAGTCGACTAGACTAGGCTTTGAATGTGACAAGGTAGTCTAGTATTTAATTTAAACTTTATATATATACACCAAACTTGTAAAAAGTGTTTAGCATATAATCAAAACCGTATTCACACTCGACATATGCACCACATTTTGGATGCACTTTAGAGACACACGAAACGTACAGTTGAGAGACAGGAATTCATTAACGGCTTTCCACTGACGATAAAAAATCAAATTAAGACAAAGTATGTGCTAATCATTTGACTAATTATGACATACATCTGAGACACTAATCGGTGAATAAAAATCTCAATGGATTCGCCAATACTGCGAATATATTGGTGCCTAATCTGCACGACATAACTGTGCACTTCACCATAGTTTTGACATGTAGGCGCTCGTTAGCTAGATACAGATAGATATCACTGGTATGTTATATCATAAAATCTATTACCACTATCAACAGTGAATGGTCTGACAAATGAGTTTTGAATTATTTTGCATAAAAAGTGCACAAATTATAAGTTGTGTTCAAAACCGTCTCTCATACCACACACACACTCGTGTGAAGTAATTAATATTTTTTAATTAACTGTTAAAGCTATCATATTAAAACTTAATGAGATAATGGACCTAAAAATAAAGTCATCTATTACTTTCCGAAATAGTTATGGAATTTGATGATTTTATTAAAAATTTTATCAAAATATTTCTAATACTATATATAATACTCTCAATCAAATCGTACAAGAATTTCAAGTCTCGTATATTATGTGTATAGAGATTGGCTTTGGTATTAAGAGTTGTCGAGAATATTCCTATTATTGGTTCTGTGAGTACAGAATCTGAGCTATTCTATGGGTAAAATGTTAACCATTTGAAATGATGCTAAAATCCATTTACTTTGGGTTATTTTTGCGGTCCATTATCACTCATTTGCACACAAACTAAGGGACAATTAAATCGTTTTTGTCGTCTATGTCTCTGCCGGCGCTGTCACGGAATATATTAGAAAATACTTTGTGTTTGTGTATAAAAACATTCATACATTTATATTACATTTGACTACATTATCAATCAGTTTAACCATTTATTTAGGGACACGTGTCTTGATGTTTCTATAGATATTATTGTGTATTAATAAATAATAGAAATGAATATGAAAAACTATTTGTGAATTTCATTTATGATATATACTCTGTCTATTATGCACACAATGAATACTTATAAAACTCGGAAATCTAAAAAAATATTCTCTATAAGAAAATATAACAAAAAGGTTTTATAACAATTATATTTTAAAAACTATTTGATTACATTGTTATTTGTAAATCCTAGTGACACGTACTGTAATTCATCTAAAGTTTTCATGTTTTAATGCATTTATGAATTCATTACAAAAAACTTATTTAAATATAATATATTATAAAGAAATATTTTCTACGAAAATAAAAAACTAAAAGCACACATCTCATAAACCAAATATAATAAGCGCTATTCAGAAGTAATTTATTATATAACTTATATAAATTTATACAAAAAAGAGTTAAATAGCAAAAAAAATCAAACAAATTTTGAAAAATATATATCAAAAGTGTACACAAGCGTAAACACCGCGAAACTTATTAATACAACTCCATAACTGTGTTGTCACTAATGTTTATTAACAAAAACAGTTTCCGTTAACCAGAATAAGTAGTCTTATAGTGTGTAGTCATAATTAACCCAATATTTAATACCTAGTGATAGACAAAAGGTCTTTACGGGGATTAAGTGTAAAATATTCTGGTGGCACATAAGCCTCACTTTCTTTTCATAAACACTGCCATCAAATATGCGATAAGAAATGATTTTCAAGTAATGTATTTACTCTTTTATTTGAGTATTATTAAGGGCTGAAACTTAATTACCATCATTTTGTATTATCTCATTAACGTATTTAAGAGAGAGAGAGAGAGAGCATACAATATAAGCAAGAAATTCTGTGAAAGTTCCCAAATATTTTCAAAAATATATTACAATATCAATGTTACATGTTATCTATATATTATTGTTAATATTTCAAGGAATTGTCTATAATATAATCTACAACTGTAGCATAACTGGCGACCAAATGGTCAGTCATAGTATTTCAATAGTGAGTGTATACAGTATTATTGAATACATACGTGATTTCATCTTAATGTCAATGGACTGTGCGTTACGGAAATTAATTTGCGGATTCTCTTGAAGCCATTGGAAACCCCTTTCGTCACGAAACGTACAGTTGAGAGACAGGAATTCATTAACGGCTTTCCACTGACGATAAAAAATCAAATTAAGACAAAGTATGTGCTAATCATTTGACTAATTATGACATACATCTGAGACACTAATCGGCGAATAAAAATCTCAATGGATTCGCCAATACTGCAAATATATTGGTGCCTAATCTGCACGACATAACTGTGCACTTCACCATAGTTTCACATGTAGGCGCTCGTTAGCTAGATACAAATAGACAGATATCACTGGTATGTTATATCATAAAATCTATTACCGCTGCCAACAGTGAATGGTCTGACAAATGAGTTTTGAATTATTTTGCATAAAAAGTGCACCAAATTATATGTTGTGTTCAAAACCGTCTCACATATCACACACACACTCGTGTGAAGTAATTAATATTTTTAATAAACTGTTAAAGCTATCATATTAAAACTTAATGAGATAATGGACCTAAAAATAAAGTGATCTATTACTTTCCGAAATAGTTATGGAATTTTATGATTTTATTAAAAATTTTATCAAAATATTTCTAATACTATATATAATACTCTCAATCAAATCGTACAAGAATTTCAAGTCTCGTATATTATGTGTATAGAGATTGGCTTTGGTGTTAAGAGTTGTCGAGAATATTCCTGACCTAATCTATTATTGGTTCTGTGAGTACAGAATCTGTGCTATTCTATGGGTAAAATGTTAACCATTTGAAATGATGCTAAAATCCATTTACACTGGGTTATTTTGCGGTCCATTATCACTCATTTGCACACAAACTAAGGGACAATTAAATCGTTTTTGTCGTCTATGTCTCTGCCGGCGCTGTCACGGAATATATTAGAAAATACTTTGTGTTTGTGTATAAAAACATTTATACATTTATATTACATTTGACTACATTATCAATCAGTTTAACCATTTATTTAGGGACACATGTCTTGATGTTTCTATAGATATTATTGTGTATTAATAAATAATAGAAATGAATATGAAAAACTATTTGTGAATTTCATTTATGATATATACTCTGTCTATTATGCAAACAATAAATACTTATAAAACTCGGAAAACTAAAAAAATATTCTCTATAAGAAAATATAACAAAAAGGTTTTATAACAATTGTATTTAAAAAACTATTTGATTATATTGTAATTTGTAAATCCTAGTGACACATACTGTAATTCATCTAAAGTTTTCATGTTTTAATGCATTTATGAATTCATTACAAAAAACTTATTTAAATATAATATATTATAAAGAAATATTTTCTACGAAAATAAAAACTAAAAACACACATCTCATAAACCAAATATAATAAGCGCTATTCAGAAGTAATTTATTATATAACTTATATAACTTCATACAAAAAAGAGTTAAATAGCAAAAAAAATCAAACAAATTTTGAAAAATATATATCAAAAGTTTATATAAGCGTAAACACCGCGAAACTTATTAATACAACTCCATAACTGTGTTGTCACTAATGTTTATTAACAAAAACAGTTTCCGTTAACCAGAATAAGTAGTCTTATAGTGTGTAGTCATAATTAACCCAATATTTAATACCTAGCGATAGACAAAAGGTCTTTACGGGGATTAAGTGTAAAATATTCTGGTGGCGCATAAGCCTCACTTTCTTTTCATAAACACTGCCATCAAATATGCGATAAGAAATGATTTTCAAGTAATGTATTTACTCTTTTATTTGAGTATTATTAAGGGCTGAAACTTAATTACCATCACTTTGTATTATCTCATTAACGTATTTAAGAGAGAGAGAGAGAGAGAGAGAGAGAGCATACAATATAAGCAAGAAATTCTGTGAAAGTTCCCAAATATTTTCCAAAAATATATTACAATATCAATGTTACATGTTATCTATATATTATTGTTAATATTTCAAGGAATTGTCTATAATATAATCTACAACTGTAGCATAACTGGCGACCAAATGGTCAGTCATACTGTAGTATTTCAATAGTGAGTGTATACAGTATTATTGAATACATACGTGATTTCATCTTAATGTCAATGGACTGTGCGTTACGGAAATTAATTTGCGGATTCTCTTGAAGCCATTGGAAACCCCTTGCG